AACACTAAAAATTTCTCACCAGCTGAAAACACTTTCTCTTTCCGTATCCTTCTTCGAGATCTAAATCATATTCTGTTCTTGAGAAGATTCCATATCTTTCAGAAAAGTAGGTATACTCTCTTTTCATTTTTCTGTTTCCACACATCCACTAAGTTTACATTTGTCCATCAAAATAGATTTTGGTAATCTATTTTGAGTAACAAATTTTCTAATGATCTAGCTAGATGTTAAGAAAAAAACCACTCCATTCCAATACCCGATTCCAACACCTATTTTAATTTCTCCCTGAGTTTATAAAAATTCACTTTGCCCCCATTTGGGACGTGAATTATTAACACCATAGGTTAGCCCCATGTAAGTAAACCTGTGTCTCAATAAATCTACCATGTTCAGTAGTCAATAGGTGTTCTAGTTTTAGTTGAGGGTTGATATATAAGCTCCATTTGTTTTTTCTTATTCCTGCTGAGAGAATTTTTTCATCCAAATGTTTATAAATCAAATATTTAATATTTTTTATGAATCTGTTCGAGGCAAATATATTGTTTTAATTTTTTTAAGTCTTGAAAAAAATCAATAATCTGCTTCATTTATATTTTATGATATACATTTGTAATCATAATTAAAGTTTAGAAAAGTCAATATCTGTAGAACCTAATTCAGAATTATCTCTTTTAGATTCCTTCTATTTTAATCTTTTTTTGAGGATCCCAAAAACTCCACCTGATCATAATTTTGCAGTCTTTTCTTTCCCACAATTTATAATTATTTTATATATTTGTTCTGCATTTTGAGTTTTGCTTATTTTCTCAGTATGACATACTTCTTTCTATTTTATTCCACAAATCTTCTAAAAATGTATTTTGTAACAATTTAAATTTCCTAACAGGTTTAAGGCTTTTTAAACTCTTTTGTTTCAAATTCAGTACTGCATATGTTAGTACTTGTCTCCACAAGATGGCAGTCTCCAAACTTTTTCAAATGTGCCATTTGCAGAGGAGTAGACATACTGCCAAACGTTTTTACTAGACATTTACAAATCTCTGAAATATTTCATTAAAAATAAAAATAAAGGATTCTTTTGATCAGAGTCAAATTACTGTTTGGCATTAATTTTTGAAATAGGTCTCTAATATTATATCAACTTAAAGTATTTAATGCTTGCAGTTCACCATTCAAAATCACAGTTGTCTGTTTTTATTCTTTTTTGGAATGGCCTTGCATGTGTTTAAAATAATTTCATATTCAATTATTTTTATGCCAATGCTTTAGAACAAGGATGTCAAACTCTATTTAATTGCAGGCTGCATCAGGAGTTTGTTTGCCCTTGGGGACCAGGGTCGGCATGGCCTGGTCATCACAGCTGACTGGGTAGGTATGGCTGGTGCCGGGACGGCAAGGGTCAGTCCATTGCTGTCTCCGGAACTGCCCTGCAGGCCAACTCCACAACCTATTGCGGCCCACATATTTGACATGTCTACTTTAAAAAGTCTGATTTTCTTGCTTTAAATATTTTTGAATAGTAACATATGTTTTCTATTTCTTTTCTGCTATATTTTTTAAAAAAATGATAAGCTTGAACATTTTTACAGAATTGCAAAAGAGGGATAAGATTATGATATACTGCTTACTGGAATGGCTAAATTCTACTGCAATCCAACAGAATTAGCTTTTCATACTCCTGTGAAAAATGAATGTGAGAATTAATGCTTCAGTCTAAATAATAATGAAGTTCCAGCATGCAGCAGTCATTTTAATATATGCATATTGATTTTTCTGGGATCTGTAACTAAGTAAAAATCAAAATGTTTGTACAAGACTACTACATTCAGAAGGAATAACCTTTATAGATCTCATACAGACATGTTTCTATTTGATGTTTAGTAATTGGCAAGGATTCACCCTGGGGAAAAATTTCTTTAGGAGTCTTCAAGGAATGTTGAAGTTCATTCTCTATAATGAGTCTTAATAGTTCTAGTTCTATAATAGGGATATTTAAAAATAATGAATTGCTTTAATTTTGTGGAATTCTCTCGTGAGTCCTCCAATTAAGGATTTCTGGCAACTTCTTAGTTCAGCCTTTTGTGATATGGAATATTCTTTTTGAGATTAGTGCAAATCTACTTAAGTATTTATTAAACTTGTCTGCCACCTGACTCAATGGGTCTGGATGACAATTACAACAAACATAAATGCAATAATATAATAAAATTTATAAAACATAAAGCAGGCATGTTGAAGTGAGTAATCTCATTCTCCCTTACCAAACACCTAGGTGAAAAGCCAGGTTTTCACACTTTTTTTAAACAACAGCAAAGTGGGGGGCATCTGGATCTTGGGGGAAACTTTATTCCAGAAAGTAGGTGCATCTTGCAGAAGGTACAGTTCCAGGGATTGAGAAATAACATTGTTTAATTGAAGGAATACAGAGTATGTCAAAATAAAATTAGATGGGTAGATATTGTAGAAAGCATATTAGCTGCACCCTTCTTTCTCCAGTGCACTGCTCAGAGAGTCCAAATGCTGGGTTAACACAGCCTATCTGCCCTTGGACTGAGTGATGTTTTTGTTGACCACTACTTCATTCTTCCTTCAGATGATTATCATACCTAATTCTGGTTTCAATCT